AAAACTTTGAGGTTTTCCACCACAGCTTGAAGGAAAAACGCTCCGCGCACTCTTCTCCGAGCCCTGCCTTTCAGCTGCGCTGCACCACAAGCCCCACGGGACCTGTAGCCCAGCGCCTCTGGAAGGCACCAAGGTAAGGAAGCAGGATAATGAAGAAGGATGGGTAGTGAACAGAAGGCATCTTCCACATCAGCGGGGCTGAGCGCAGAGGAAAACTAGCATTCATTCTAGACTTCGACCTGGCTTGCCCGTTGCGTTAAGAAGTAGCTTAACTGTTGCTTATTGAGTCAGTCATGACTGTCTGGGTTTGTGCAATAGACTGAACGCATAAACCATTATTTGCAAGCCACAGTGGCTCAGGCAGCATGCCAGGTCACAAACCAGTCACCTTTTGGCTTCGCACAGTTGAAGGAGCTGAGTTGCTAAATTGGTGGTTAAGGCTGGAGGAAACCTAATCTTCCAGGGTAGGAGCAATCACATAAAGTAGATTGCAAGCCTTTTTTTCCAAATCTGAAGTGGCAGAAGAAAGTTTCTTTTCCCCAGGAGTCACAATTGTCCCATTTGTGCTACAACAAACAACACTTGGCCATTTTGCTTCTGACTAATTAAAATATGCCACAGTCAGCTAAAATTTCTTTAATTAAAAGAGTTTCAACCCTGGGAGAAATGTGGCTAACTGATTGTTTTGCGGAAGGGCACTGTTCCACGGTAGCAAGTTTTGCATGTGAAAACAAAATCGAAATAGGATCCTGGTGTGAAATTATTTATCTTCCAGCAGGATGTGTGAATAACAGGTCAAAGAACAGTGGAAATAACTTCCAGATTTGGGTGTGTGTGTATGTATGTATGATTATAAGACAACAGGGTGATGACCCTGCCCCCTCAAAAGGCAGAAATCTAGTTTCCAAATAACGAGAAATAACAGTTTCGCCTCAACTGTGTTCAGTTTTGGGCAACTGGAACAAGTTTAGAGAAGGGCAGTGAGGAATACTGGAGAAGTAAAAGGATGAAGAGAGAATGAAGAGATTAAAGGATGAAGAGAGAATGATAATAAAGAAACTGGAAGTAGAGAAGACTGAGAGGGATATGGCAGCAATTTTCAGGTACTTGAAAAATTCATTCACAGAAGATTGGGACTTCTTTCCTGTCATCTTAGAAGGCAGTTTATGACCAATTGATGGTACTATAATAAATTACAGGATTTCAGCAGAATGTTAGGAAACCTTCCTGACAAAAAAGGAAGTTCATCCATGAAACCCATAATTCAGAGGAGTGGTGAACTTTGGGAGTAGGATTTCGGCCTGCCAAGGTTAAAAAAAAAAAGATTAGAAACACAGAATGGGTGTTTTAATAAAACATGCTCAGCCAGTTCAGTTACAAATCTAGAATCTTGCCTAGCATATTAAGTTAGTGGTGATTATTTTAAGCTTAGCACAATGAGTGTTTGGTTAGTTCATCATTCAGTTTATTGTAGGACTACCAAGATGGAGCCATCATAGCTTTTTCAACATCAGTTACTATCAGTTCTAATCCAGTCCAACCTTCTTAGCTTTTCAACATCAGCCAAAGTAAACTGGGTGCCACCACCTGGCATGATATCCTGAGTGGTACATAAAGTATGCATTAGAAGAATGGAATGTGTTTATATCAGTGTTTTCCAACCTCAGTAACTGGCTGGGGAATTCTGGGAGTTGAAGTCCACATCTCTTAAAGTTGCTGAGGTTGAGAAACACTGGTTTATATAGAATCCTAGGGTTGGAGGGGACATTGGAACCAATCCCTTGCCCAAAGCAGGAATCCCCCTTCCCAGACAAATGGCTGGTCAATCTCCACTTCAAAACCTTCAGCGATGGAGCACCCATGACTACAGGAAGCATGCATTTCCATTACTTAAGCGCTCTCATGATCAGGAAATTTCTTCTTATTTCAACTTTGGAACTCCCTCTGTAAAACTTCTAACTGTCGGTTCTTGTCTTACCTTCAGGAGCTAGGGAGAATAAATCCACATCCTCTTCCCCGTGGCAGTCCTTCATCTATTTGAAGGCTGCTATGTCTGTAACTAAGATATCATATTACTATATTATTATTAATACTATGTTTGTTCAATAGTACCACAAGCTGATAGCAATTAATATCCTAAACCAGTGTTTTTCAAACTTGGCCACTCTAAGATGTGTGGACTTCACAATGGGGCTGGCTGGGGAATTCTGGGAGGTGAAGTCCACACGTCTTAAAGTGGCCAAGTTTGAAAACACTGACCCAAACATAAGCTCATAGATACCAGCAATGGGAAGAAAATCCATCCTAGAATGTTCATTTCTCATCCTTCTTGTAGATCCAATCTGGGAGGATCTACAGGAGGATTTTGCATCACTTCTGGGAACTGCAGCAAGTAAATGACCACTCACCCCATGATTACATTCATCTGTAGAAATAACAAGAGTGATGGCCTGAAAGGAACTGTATTCATTAAAAAAAAAAAAAAACTTTGAGGTTTTCCACCCTAACTCAAGAGAGAGAAGTATTTCCTCCATCCTTGCAGCATCTGTTCTGATTTGTCTTTCCCACATCCTGTTGAAAAATATACTGGCTGGGTTATGCTGGCTAACCTGGCACTGTCTTCCTCTTGAATGAATCCAGAAAAAAGACACTCAACAGTGGAGTTATGTGTAATTCCTTTAAAAGGGTTGCTGTTTTCCCTTTTGGGACTGGTCGCAATTGAGGATTGAAATTTCATTTCCAAACTTGGAATTTCCCTTCCTTTTCTCCAATTCTATAAAATAGCCTTCTATAACCTTGCTGCCCTTTAGATGTGTGGAGCTCAATTCCCAGGATTTGCATCAGTGGATATGCTGGCTGGGAGCTGAAGCTCACCCTTATGTGGTGGGTGTCCAGTTTAGGAAACTTGGTTTCTGATATGGCCTATGCCGTTGAAAAGAGGGTTCTTAATATCTGAAACAGGATAGAGACAAATAAAGTTGTTTTATGCTGGCTCAGCTTGTTGCTCCATCCAGCCAAGTAGACATAACAGGCTTCTCATATTGCACTTTGTTTTGATCATGACTTGTTGAATAAGCACAATTGGCTGGGTTCACTGAGACATAAGCCATGGTTTGCAAGCACAATGGCTAGATAAGCACAACATGCTAAGAGTGAAAGAAAAACCTGTGGGCTGGGCGGCCACAGGCAGTCCACCAACATCTCTTCTGTACTCCCTGAGTAAGTAGGAGCCAAGAGGGTTTGGGGGGGGGGCAGTTTTTGTGCTAAGAGGCAAAATGGGTGCTTTAATAAGAAGCCTTTTAGAAACTCTCCCAAATGGCCCTACTTTTAGAGTGTGATCTTTAAAGCATATGCAAAGCCTGCTGTACCCTATCAAGCTGTTGGAAGTTGTACATTCGTACATAAAGATAATCCTTTAACCCTTATAAATTTAAGACACCATTTTACCCCTTAACACTTACCCCAGGACCCTAACCAAAACAAGGAGATGATTGACCCCACTGAGGTCACAACATCACTGATCACACACTCTGAACACAAATACATTTTTAAAATTTATTTATTTATTTATTTATTAAATTTTTCAACTGCCCATCTCCCCCCAATGGGGGAACTCTGGGCGATAAACAAGGAGATGATTGACCCCACTGAGGTCACAACATCACTGATCACACACTCTGAACACAAATACATTTTTAAAATTTATTTATTTATTTATTTATTTATTTATTTATTTATTTATTTATTAAATTTTTCAACTGCCCATCTCCCCCCAATGGGGGAACTCTGGGCGATTCACAATAAACATTAGAACATAACATATATAAACACATAAAACCAGAAATTAAAACATAACTAAAAAGAAGAAGGAGAGACCAAGGGGATGAAAACCTGAGGCTGAAGGCCGAGCCCTCTACGGGGCTAGCCATCCCCATGCTTGAGGTATTCTCACCCCACCGCAGGCCAGGTGGCAGAACCAGGTCTTCAAAACCTTACGGAAGGCCAGGAGTGTGGGGGCTAATCGGATCTCCAGGGGCAGGATGTTCCAAAGAGTGGGGGCTACCGCAGAGAAGGCCCGCCTTCTGGACCCCTCCAGTCGAAGTACTTTCACTGAGGGGGTCTGAAGCATGCCCTCTCTGTGTGATCGGGTGGGACGGGTTGAAGTCATAGGGGAGAGGCGGTCCCTTAGATAATCTTAGATAAAAGTGATCTGCCTCTGGCCCCAAAACTGTTGCCCTTATGAATCACTGTGCCCCAATGTGCACAAGAAAAGAACAATTGGGTGTAGTGTGATGATCTACCCCAGACATCATACCAAACATGGAAGTATTTCTCTCCTTGCCTTCCAGGGGACGGTTGTGGTCATTCAGTGCTCACATCTTACAGTGGGACTTTGTCCTCCAAGAACTTTCCAGGCACATATCCAAACTCCACTTCTTGTGAGTGGCAAATTCACGGAGCAGCAGGGAGCCACCTCAGCCTGGCCTTTGCAGACATGGACATCGAAGCCTCTGAACAATGCAAATATGGCTTCTTGTTGCTTTCATCTTCCTCAGATGGTTCCAGCTTTGGTAAGGACATTCCTTGACTTCATTCCTAAAGATAATTGATTCTAATTATTCTTTCCCATGGAAGCAGAAATGTATACGTCCCTTTCAAGGGCAGAGTGGTAAACCTGCAAATCCAAGAAGGGCCTGCTGCTTAGGGTGGGAGGAGCCCCCCCCTCACTTTTTCCAAGCACTCCATTTCCCATAGATCACTTCTAGGAGCAGTAGTCTGACCAGCCCTCTCTGTTCCTAGAAATGAAATCAGACCCAATATTACATAGGGATTAATTTTTTTCCTATACCATAGCATTCTAAGAGGCTAAGAGCACCCAAGATGTATCTTGGACCAAGGTCACACTAAAGTTATGCATGGCATACCAGAAGCTACATCTAAAACAATGGTTGGACTAGCCAAAAAATTAAATTTGCTTTCATTATTTTTGAGCATTTTAAAATAAACTAGAATGAATAGGACTCCAGTACTGAATTGAATAATTTCACCTTCTACTATCTTAGAAATTATGACTTGGTAACAATGTTCAAAGGTCTCTGGAGGGTTTCAGGGGCCTCAGGTTATATATCTCTATAAAATGCTATGAAAAGATTGTAGTTCTTTGCTATAGACTTTTTTGGCTGGTTGTCTTCCTTCCTGCATCCTTCCACAGATGTCAACTTGATCTTCCATGTTGGTTTCTTTCGTTATTCCACAGGAGGCAGGGGGAAGAGAGGAATATCAGCTTTTGACAGAACATGAAGTGTGTCATTTAGACCCAGCACAAAAATATCTTCTCTTCTGCAGTACTTTGACCTTCTTAGATCTCTGCTGCTTCACTGGTTCCTTGGCTGGTGGATTTCTTCCCCCGGCCTTGTCCTATACTTAGTTCTGTTTCCGTTCTCGCCACTTCCATTACTTTCCATTCCTGCAAAAGGCTGTTCCATGATTCTCTGGAAGGCAGTTCCAGGCAGACATTTCCAAATATTGTTTTGTTTCTTTGTTTCCTTCCTTCCTTTTCTCTTTCAGCTTCTCCCCCTCCACTTTTGAGACTTTTGTAGATCCATCCAATCTCTGAAATCCGTTAAATGTCTGCTATGAAATCCTACAAATATTGGGGATGCTATTTCTCAGCAGAAGGGAAACTTTAATGAATCGATACAAGCATATCTCCTTCTTTCTCTATAGCTCATTTTCTAAGCAGAAAGTCTTTAGAAGGTTAGATTTTTCATAATGTTCTTATTGAAGACATTGCATTAAAACCGTGCACCACAGCAGTGTATGTACGTATGTGTATCAAATATTTACATTTGGGATTTTTTTTTTTAATGGACATGAGTTTGGAATCTCTGCCAAGGCATTTCTCTCAATCTCCACTTGGATTTCTCTGAACATTCCATTCTCTCCCCCCAGAGATCAATTTCATATGCAATACAGCCCTTTGCTAGTTGGAGTATGTGATCCCCCCTCCCATTCAGAGATGTCATTTCTTAGAGGAAAAAAAATAGATTGGAATTTATTGCAAACTATTTCCAAACACAACAATCACATTCACTGCTCTTTTTTCATTACCGAGTAGAATGTAATATCCCAGAAGCAACAGCCTCTTACCTGAGGGTGTGAATATGCCTGGATTTTGAACAAGCAGATCTAGCCATGCAAATAGCAAATTATCGTGCTTGAAATACTGTCTTATATCTGGTCATAGGAATAACCAGTCAAACAAACTGCAACTAAAAATCTGTGTCCTTGTATTCAAGACGTTCACGAACAGAGGGATGTCCAACCCTGCAAGAAAATGAGACACACATAAATACAGCTGTCTCGTGGGGTGGCAACACCTTGCTTGACTTGAGTGGGCTTAGAAGCAAAACAGAGGTTAACCTGGTTAGTACTTAGTTGGGAGACCACCAAAGAGTTCAAATTGTAGACTAGACTGGGAGGTTGAAAAAACAACCCAGGAAAAACCAATGGCAAATTAGTTCCAAACTGCTGCCAGGAAAACAGTAGGAATGTGTATGCAGTCACAAACAGTTGAGCTTGACTTGATGGCATCTTTATTTTTAGTTGTAGCTAGTTTTAATTAAAATATAAACTTGTATCTAAGAAAATGACCATGAGGGTCACATTGCTTCCTGTTGTGAAATAAGGCTCTGCAATCTGAATATGTAATCACTGATCCCAGGCATTCTCTTCCACCTTCAGTTCACGGAGAAAGACACCATTAATGGGCAAGCTTCCTTGATAAGAAGTACAGTTAAATGGGAAGGTAGTTATCCCTCCCATTCACTTTGGAGGAAAACCTCCAAAGAAGATCCTAAGGTTTAACTAGATCCATATGGAGAAGGTAGTTTTCAGGTAACTCAAAGCCATTTTTGCAGAAATCCCCGGAGATGGCCTTGAAGGAAATATTCAGAAGCCGTTACAGAAACAAGGGCAGAAGCATTTCTTGAGCTCTGGAAAAGGAGGTAGTATTTGGAAGAAGCTTAGGCTGGCTCATCTCTGACTCAGTGGGATATAAGAAGAAAGGAGGAAAACACAATCAGACTTGCACAGTTCTGTTATTATTAATTGATTATGCGCTATCAAGTAATTGTCAACTCCTAGACCACCTAGATAAATTTTCTCCATGATAATCTGTCCCCAACCTGATCTTTCAGGTCTTCTAACAGTGCACCCATCGCTAATGTAACTGAGTCCATCACCTCTCTGCTGGCCATCCTGTTCTTCTCTTTACTTCCATTTTTCCCAACATTAGAGCCTTCTCCAGAGAGCTAGGTCTTTGCGTAATTTGTCTGAATCTGTTATTATAGCCTATCTCAATAAAATGTAGTTCTAGTCTTCCTATGGAGTCAGTTTCTTGATCTGGTCTCCCTCATAGGGCTGACAACTTTGGACTTTAATACAGAAATGATCTCAGTCCCCAAATCACATTTGGTTCCTGAAAGTTTCTGGTGTACTCAGATCTTCAAACGTTGGTACCCAGTTATCATATTTAACAGAACAACCGGGGGGTGGAGAATGGCACTATGAACCCAATTTCATTTAATGTCACTTCAGTTACATTGAAATCCAATCCAATTAGCTTCTCCACCTGCTTTGGAGAATGTGGCTCCCAGTCCTCTACTTAAATGCCAAGTACCCAACAGAAGGGTAGACCCCTGATTTAATTCGATTCGTGGTGGATTGCAACTATTTCCAAACTCTCGCATTGTGATTGTTTGCTTTTGATTTGTTAATTGCAGTTTATCTTGTTTTAAGCCAAGTTACCGAGTGGGGATTGTATGCCACTCCGAGCCAGTTGTGATTGGAGCAGCCTCTGTGCCCTGTTAAATCACCAAATACTTAAACCCAATCCTTGATATTGCAGCGGGCTGTGACCTGGTGTTCCTGACAAAACCCAGGCATCATGTGCTAAAATTGCCCAGTTCTGGTGAGTTTGCCACTGGCAGCCAACTCTCATTTGAGTCACTTGCAGTTTCTCTATCAGCTCCTCTTTCTGTAGTCAGGACTTTGCACGTCGTCAGCAAAAGTGCCATGCATTTCCAGGAATGTGTGTACTTGCCCAAAAGTTTCCTTCCTCCCTCAGCTGTCTGGTTCCCCCGGAGGCCCCGTGACAGTATCTGGCTCCGAAGCGGAGCCCTTTCCGTCTTATTCCAGCTTTCAGCGAAGCTGGGCTCGAGCTGGCTTTGGCCAAGTTCTCTGATGTGGACACTGAGAGCAGGTTTGACCTCAGAGCCGTGCGCTGCCCTCATGACAGGGAAGGGAGAGAAGCCTTCTGGCGGCAGTTATGGAGCATTGTTTTGCTCGGCTGGCCAGGAGGGCAGGGGAAATGATGCAGCTGCTGGGAGGCAGCACAAGGATAAAGGAAGCAGGATGGATTTTATCTGTGTATTTATTGCTTTTGTGCCCCACCGCAGTTGGCTCAAAAAAGCATTTAATGCCATTTAAGCTTTAAAGAGGCTTATGAGGTGGGGGGAAAATGAGGTTTAGGAAGCGTCTCGCCTTGATCCCATTCACAACCTACCATTGGATTGGATTGGATTTCAAGTTGGCTAGTTGTTGCCTTTCCTTTGCCAGGCTTGTTGCCTGCCTGCCTGCCTGTTTAATTTCACTAACACCATAGAGAGCATAGGGAATGGCCTAGAAGGACAGAAGGAAGAGCCATTACCAAGGCAACCGTCAGATAAGCGGAACTGGAACCCGGGCCAAGAAAGTAACTTGAGAAAATGTCTCAGACAAGCCCTTTGCTAATTCACACGAAGATAACGTGGGGGTGGGGGTGGAGGAGAAGCACATTCAGACTTGCAAGCTTCTGTTACTATAGATGTTACAATAAAAGTAGTCCTGATCTCTATGGCATTGGTTTCGTAGTCTGGTCTACTTTGTTGCAAGTCTGAATGTGGTTCCCCCTCCTTCACTTTACCTTTGTGTAAACTAGGGAGTACTTGTCTGAGACTTTTTTCAAGTTAGATTTTTTCAAGTTATTTTCTTGGCCCGGCTCAAGCCCCTCTTATCTGACCATTGCCTTGGTAGCAGCTCTTCCTCTCGTCCTTCAGGGCCGTTCCCTATGCCTATTACAGGCACCTATTTCACCAGTCATGCAGTTGTCCCTATGGTATCTCCATGCAGTTCAGTGGTTCTTAAATTTTGCTGTATTAAGAACCGCTCTTGGGTCTGCTTCTTCTTTGGGTCATTGTATTTTATTGTTGTTGAGGCCAAGGGCACACTGAGTGCTCAGAACCTCTTACTGCCACAAGGGAAGATGCTTCAAAGGACTCCTAAGCCAATGGAGACATGGCTTGCCTCTTCGGTAGTAGCAGAAGCCTCTGAGGATCCTCCCTCTTGTTCTTTGTATAAACTTTTTCTCCCATCACCATCATTACCAGCAAGTCTAATGGAGGCAGAGAGGATTATCAAAAGGGCCTTAGCCAAATGGAAAATTGACTTTCTTTTTGAGTAACAGGCTCCAAAATGTCTTGCTAAGTAGAAAAGTGGCTTCCCTCTTCAGTACATAGTAGAAATATCTGGGAAACCCACAACTTTTGGGAAACATTCTTTCCCCCATTATTATTACCATTACCATGGATGATAGGTTACCAGAGATAGAGAGGTTAGATTAGGAAAAAGGTTTAGGGAAACAGAAGATTAAATCTCCGGCTGAAGACTAAACCCCACATCCGTTGCAGTCACTATCCCTTAAAGCAGAAATTGCCACATTGCTTGTTTATACTTCAGCCCTAGCATTCCACTTCCGGAGACGCAGAGCGTTTACGACTTGAAAATAGTGGAGAAACAACCAAGGTCAGGAAAGGCAAACAAAGGCACGGAGCAGGAAAGCATGTTGACAAATGTCCTGCAGTGTTTGTTTCGCTTGGCATCCCTTTGCCAACTCTTTCCCGACTGTTTCATTGTCTACTAGGTTAAATCAATCTGCTCTTTGCCTTATTAGTTGTGTGGGCCATTCCAAACGGCTGATGGAGGTGGAGACATGCAAGTTTGCTTAAGGAAATGTTGAGGGATAAGGACAGAGTTGGCTCTTTTTCTCTTTTCTTTTTTTTTTTTTGGCTATGTGGAAGTAAATTCCGGAGATCTTCTTATAATTCACGGTCCTGGGATTTGGGATGTGGGAGTGCAGAGCAGTGTGTGAGTAAGGTAGGGATACGAGGATTGCTTACTCTGACTCAGTTGTGGTTTGTGGCTGTTTAATCAGCGGAGACATTGTTGTCATCCTCCTCCTCCTCATATATTCCAGAGTGGTCATTTCACTTTGATTTTGGAGTTGTTTTTCTGTTCTCCGCATTCTTCTGTTTCTCAGATTTTTGTTTATAGCTTTGCAGACAATTAAAAGATTTTACATCAGAGTCAGGAAATGTGGTGGCCACCAGGTTCCTGGTTCCATTTTTTAGAGATTCTTTTAATTAAAAATAAATCAAAAGGAATCTGGCCTGCTGCAAGATAAGCATCAGTCTGTAACATCATCTCTATTTAGAACAATGCCTTTGGTTCCCCCAAAGGCCCCCGGAATGGTAGCCTGCAGAGCATGTAATGGGGTAAAGTTTGATTTCTGGATTGTGGGTGTTTAGTCACTGGCCATGCCAAGCATGTTTTAGCTGGTAGCATCACCTGGCTCAGCATGTCTGAGTTCAAGAGCTAGACAGAGTCTGACTGACGTAGTCTTTGGATGGGAGAGTGCCAGGAAATGCTAGGTCTGTAGGTCAGACTGGTAAGTAAAGGAAAATCTTGAAAGAAGGCAGTGACAAATCCTTGTATTGCTGCTGAGAGAATGACACGGACACATCCATGAAATCACCAGGAATTGAGGGAGTCTTACTGCTTACTTTAGAAGCCATTTTATGAATAGACAAATCTCCCAGGCTAGCCATTTGTGAGCAAGACCACCCCACACACTCACAGCGTTGCCTCCTGCCTTAAGTGATATGACTTCACCCTTGGAAGTGCAGATCCCGAAGCCCTGAAAAGTTTCCCATGGTTGCAACCAAATTGTAGTTTTCAAAGTGACCCCAGGGGAGGAATATTAAATACACAAGTTGAGAATAACCATCTGGATGCAATTCAAGATGCTGGTTATTGCCTCTAAAGCCCAACGTAGCATGGGGCCACGTTATTTGTGGGACTGGCTATCTCTGAGGATTTCTGTCCATTCCACCAGATCTAACAGGGTAGACATGCTTGAGGTCCCTCTATCAAACAGTACCACCTTGTGGAACCAAGGAGATGTGCCTTCTCTCTCGCAGTACCTACCCCATGGAACAGGATCCCCCTGAGATTCAGATGGCCCCAACCCTCTTGGTCTTGCAGAAGGGTGTGAAGATCTGACTTTTCCCGCAGGTATTAAGGCCAGAGTGTTAGGGGAGCCCAATGTACATGTGTTTGTTTTTACAGAATTGTTATATAGTGCCTCAGTTATATATATATATTTATTTCCATTGGATTCTTCTAATTGGTGATGGGCTTTTTAAAATATTGTTTTTTGTATGGATTGTTCACCGCCCAGAGTTGTGGATTTAGGATGGGTGGCTATATAAACTTTCTAAATAAATTAACATTTAGTTGCTTAAATTTTAATTCAATTTCAGTGTAGATAAACCCAAATTTAGTTTTCCAGCCATTATCTTTTGGAACAGAATTTCTGGCATGCCACTTAAAGGTCATAGGCAGCCTTCAATCTGGAAGAAAGAAAAAAAAAGGAACAATCCTGTTTTATGAGACGGCCATATGTATGCAGTTCTTAGCCTGATCTGTATCTCGGGGTTGTGGTGACACTAAAAGAAGCAGGCATGCTCTGAATTACTTGGAGGAACGGTGTGTGTTACCTCCTTTAAAGCTTGATTGGGTGTTCTCAGAAATCTTAACTGGGCAACCTAGGGAGAATGTGAGAAGAACTTTGCTGGATCAGGCCGAAAGAACCATTATTCAGATCCTGCTTCTCACAGGAGCTTCCAGGCAGAGAATTAAAACAAAAGAGTTCCCCTTTTCCCAGCAACTAGCAAATTACCATTTCTGCATGCAAAAGTCCCCTCTAACAGTAAATCACTCTTTCTAACAGGGATCCTATGCCAACGGAAAGGAAGCCAAAGCTGAGCCATGGGAAATGAGAGGGCTGAATCAACATGCTTGGGGGCAGTTCAAGATTGGCAGAAGAACAGTGTACTAAACCCTAATAAGGACCTTCTTGGTAGAACACAAATACTTTGCAGTGGGCTGATGTCATGATTTGGAGTTTTGTTTTGCTTCCTTTTCCTTGTTGGTTGCTTTATGGCCTTTATTGAGTCCAAACACTTAGCTTTTGGGGACAGTGAATTTTTAGTCAGCCTCCCACTGCCTGACTTGGAATGGCACACACCAAGAATGTCTGCATAAAATCTAGCCTACAACAAGATGCATAAGATGATGCTTAACACTGATAAAGCTGGGTTGAGTAAAGAGTGAAAGAAGGAACAAGTAGTGTTTCCAAATGCACTTTCCTCCATTCCTTTCCTATCATTACCACTTCCACTCTGTTGCCAAAATCAAGTTCTTACTGAAAAGAAGTTCATTGGAGATCCAACTGGAGAAGGTTTGCTGGGCGAATAAAAGTGGATTGATTATTGCTGAAGAATACATCAAATGGCCAGTATGACTCTGGATATAATAATTCAACCATTTATACTCTTTCTTTCTCTTTTTCCCATTCCAGGTCCATACTGTGCCAGTGCATATCCTCCACACACAGTCTTGGTGATGAATTCCACCACCATAACCATCTTATTCAATAGCACAAAGCATCGCTCGGGTCGTGGCTTCCTTCTTTCTTACGCCAGTGGCAACCGGTCAGGTAGGGAAAACATCTCCATTGCATGTTACTTCTGAAGTGTCAGCGGCAAATAGCAAAGAAGTCTACTAGTCATTGATTTTTCCAACATGTATTGATGCAATTCAGGGATTCACCATGTTCAGCACTCCAAATGTTAGAGAACCACAGTTCCTAGCTTCCCTCACCACTAGCCATACTTCCTAGGGATGTTAGATGTGTTCATGGTGAGATTTGCCTGCGATGCCTTGTTGAAGACCTGAAAGTGCCAGGAAGATGATACAGAAGTAGGTAATCCCACAGATATCTTGGATCTAAGCCACACAAAACTTCACCCACCAAAGTGAGCATCTTCGGTGAGACTCAGAAAGCAACTACCAACCACTGGAGCCATTTCAAGCATGATGGTGATATGGCATTTCTAAAAGGTGCCACCTGCATTGACACAATCTGGGTCAGCTGCAATTTCTGGACTATCTTTAAAAACAGCTGAGTCACAAAAACGAAGTGTTTCTTCCCCAAGTAGGGACCTAACAGGTTTATCGACCACAATAGATCAAAAACTGACCTTGGCAGAGATGTTCTATGTCAGACAGCTTTAACGTCTATCCCAAAAGGATCACCCTAAACTCTAGCTTTATGATAGCAGAAGAAACATATCTCTGTCCCCTTTTCCTATCCCATGCATCACTTTAGCAACATCAGAGGAGAACAGTCTGTGGCCTGAAGCTAGCATGAAGTCCTCGAAACCTTCAGTGCAGTCCCCAAAGGGTTCTCCCAACATTTTTACCAAATGGACATCCTTATTGTGACAACAAATAATAAATTCCTGACTAGAGAATAAACCCCCTCCTCTGGAATGGCCCTGTATATATGAACCCTGCTTAAGTCTGGGATCTACCTGTTGGATTGTGCCGTTACAGCTTACATTCATCTATGTTCTCTTATTTTTAACCCATTTCTCTGTACACAGCTTGGAGCCATTTGAAGTGGAGTGGTACTAAAATGTCAGTAATAGATCAATAAAAATCAACTATATTTAATTTTTAAAAATAATTTAATAAATTTACTTAAAATTAAATTAAATGTCTCTCTCATCTGGATGCTGTCTGCTTTTAGATGGTATCCTCTAACCAGCCTTGCTAATTCCAGCTGCAGTTCCTCAACCCAGGAAAAGCACGTGTGTCTCCTCCTTTCTTCAGCCCTGATGGCTTTACCTGCCCCCTTTTCGCATCTTTGTCCACTAAAGTCTTGTGAGGCAAGAAGTATCCTGGCTCTGAGACACGTGAATAAGCTGTTATATCTACAAGACTTCAGCCTGGTTTGCTGGAGCCAGCAGAATTCCAGAGAGAACATCTACAGCTGGTCTTCATCTTGGAAGAGTTTCCACGGGGCCAGTTACAGTGTTCATTGGCCACAAGTATTTATGAGTCACTGATCCTCCCACGTGGTATCTTGCAATTTGTGGGGTGGAAGCATGAAAATAGGTTGCTTGGAATTTCTTTATCTGGCGAAAACTGAAAATACCACTGGCAGCTGTCCATACTGGGATAAGTTGCATTCCTCATATTTGTCTCTACCATGCGATTAATGTAGGAGTCCCAAATCTTCTTGGGCCAGGGGAACATAAGGTGCCTATTGTAGGCACTCACAAAAACGCCTGCTATGACAGATGTGTTCAGCCATAGACATCGATCTAGCAGAAGCAGAGATCTGAAGGTCCAAAAACAACAACAGGAAAAAAGCTTTTTCCCTCCCCAGAGCAGTGTTTCTCAACCTTGGCAACTTTAAGCTGT